ATACCGTCCTCGGGGCTAGCTGGGGTGTTGGAAAGTGGCTGCTCTCACACATGGTTGGTAGGAATGCAAATGACAGCAACATTTCTAGGCAAACAATCTTGCCCCAAATCGTCAATATCTATTTAAAAATAAATATACACTTTGAACCAGCAATTCCATTTTGGGGCACGTGTCCTAGAGCAATAAAGGCATCCATATGAAAGAGATACATATTGCTGTACTATTTGTAATCGCAAAACCTGTAAACAGGCTGCATGTCTGTCAATAATGGGACTATGGAATAAATCTCAGTGCATCCATACTATGGCCCGCTAGGGTGCTATCAAAAGGAATGAGTACAGTGTGTATCTACTGACATGGAGGGAACCCTTGACGTGTTTTAAGAGACTACATTTCTAATGAAGTACATTTGCCCATATACAGCAGGATCTTTACGTTGGTTATCTCAATAGGTTAGGGGCAGATAGTTAATCTTATGTGTCCTTTCTTTGTTTTACTAGTTACAAGGAGCATGTTTTGTGAGGGGGGAGGGGTTTGGGGGGAGTAATTAAAATAAAAATTTGGGACATGTTCAAGTATAGTGCAAGTGGTTATCACCATCATTACTATTACATTCGCTGCTCCTCACAAACCGGTGACCTTAATGGCTCAGGGTGGCTCAATTCCCCAACAGGCTGTGACCAGCGTGGGGGCCGCTCCCCAGGGCACCCCTGCTGGGGTCGAACCTGAGGCCGAAGGGCTTGCAGCTCTGGCAGTCACTGAGGGAAGCCCTGGCTTGGGCCCTGGCTTGTCCTGTGAAGAGCATGCCAGGAAGGCACTCTCGTTCTGCTCCGAACCACCCCTCAGGCTGCTGAGTGGGGGCCCTGGGGGAGGGGGGCTGGTCCCAAGAGGCACACTCTGAGGGCCCCCCAGCGGCTAATGCCCAGCTGTCTTTGGCTTCTCAACCACAAGAGGGAGCCCAAGAGCAGGAACTGCGAGACCCTGGGAAACAAGTTAAACAAAAGCCCTAGCTCCTTTCCCTCTTCTGCTCTATGTCGGCCTGTGTCTGTCTGTCTGTCTGTCTGAAAGGGCCCCTGGGCTCCCTTGTGTGTGGAGGTCATGGTGGGCTGCTAACCTCAGGAGGAAAGTTGGTGGACAGCAATTTTAGGCCAGAGTGGGCCTAAAGGAATTCAGGCAACGGCCCAATAAAAACCAGGCAACGGAGTGATAAAATGTGGTCATTTTGATGTGGGTTTATGCGGATGAGGGAAAGTGAGAGGAAAGGACAGTGGACAGGAGGTGGTGCACCGTGTGGCCCTGAAACATGAAATCAGAGAAAATGAACTTTTTGAACAGCAGAGAGATTATAGTCAGACACGAGGAAGAACTGTCAGAACCATCACGCCCAGGCTCGGAGAATGTAGTCTGGAATCCGTTAGGAAGAAAATGCCAAGCTGTATGTGTGTGTGCGTTGGGTATTGGTTTTGGGGGAGGGGTGGTCATAGCCAGCTAGAGCAATGAGTGCAGAGGAGAATTCCAGTGTGCAGCAATGCCCTTTTACCCAAAGGGGCCCTATTTCCCAGCCACATACTGAGCAAGCCTGATTCTGTCCACTCTCGCTGCTGGTTACTAGCAATCACAGGGAGTGGGGGTGCCTCCCTGCCGCCCGTCTCCTCTGCCGGAGATTCAGCTGAGTTCTCAACCAGCAGGGGTCAGGCCCGGGGGAGCTGCTGCACAGCTCCTGGGGGAGTTCTTAGCAAGCCTGGCGGGACTTGTCCAAGGACACGCTGGCCTCCAGGGCCTCTCCTTTCCCACAGTGCCCAGGGAAGCCTGGAACTCCTCTGTGGAGACTCTCTTCAGAGCTGATGGACACTCTTTTTTGAAAGCTTTTTCCTGTAAGAGTTTGGCAGCAGCCTCAGATGTTAGGAACCAAGTCTGGTGGACAAGGTGAGTGCTTGCTCCAAGGCTCCAATAAGGACTGATGTGAATCACAGAAAACAGGAGTTGGAAGATGCTCTGCAGCAGCTGTTCTCAAAGCGTGGTCCCCAGCCCAGCAGCAGTGGCAGCCTCGCCTGGAACTTGTTAGAAATTCAAATTCTTGGGCCTCTGATCTGTGGAATCAGAACTTTGGGTTGGGGTCCCAAGGATCCCTCCAGGGGATTCTGATGCATGCTCAAGTTTGAGAACCAGGGCTCTGGTGACATCTGTCTAGAATATTCCAGGCCGGTGGATATCAGATATCCAGACTCTTCTTTAATGCTTGTACAACCTTGTGTGAGTGTGATTGTGTGTGAGTGTGATTGTGTGTGGGTGTCCTTTTGTGAGATCAGGCCTGTGGGTATGGATGTTTAACGACCCAGGGGAGTCAATTTTACCCTCTACAAATCATGGGGATAGCCTTTTCTGGGTCACATCCCTGGAAAATCAGATGAAAGTGTGGAACCTACTCCCAGAAAAATGCACAGGCACATGAATCCATACCTTCAAAGGTTTGCATACAATTTCAAAGGCTTTAGTCCCCGGGCTAAGAACCTCCGATCTACACAAAATTCTTTCCCCAAATATTTTTCCATTTGAGAAGTATGGACACAGACGCAGTAATTGGCTGTATGATTCAATGGGGACAGAAGGTGGCGCTGTAGAGACAGAACTGTGGGAATTTGCACCATCAACTCTAGAACAAGGAGAGGGGCGTGGGACAGTGGAAAGCGGGGCATAGAGGTGCCTTCTCCACCTCCTGAATTTATGAGACCATAAACTACTGATTCCTTTCCTTCCCTCTGCAAGCCCAGGGTTCTCTGGGTGTCTCCATCACCCAGTTATTCTGTTCTGCCAGAGTCACAGATGCATGCAACATTCACAGAACCGTAGGGCTGGGGATCTATCTCTAGTTTCCTAGTCCACCCCACTCTTCAGCTGGGAAAATGGATGTCGGCATAGGTACCTCCTCTCCATACACACTGGGTCCCCCCTAGACAGACAGGCGTGGTGGGGAGTGTGGTGGAGATGGGTGAGGGCACAGAGGTGGCACCAACTGTTTCAGCAGGCGTATTAGCATTTCTGCATTCCAGGCAGACCTATGGCTAGCTGTTCTCAAGAGGAAATAATAATAATACATTTATCTGATTTGATTCTCATAACAACCCTGATATCATTTAATGATGGAAACTGGGATTTACGACCCTAGATAGATGGCTTTCAAACTTCAGGGAGCATCAGATCACCAGAGGGCTTGTAAAAACAGATTCTGGGCCCCACCCCCAGAGGTTTGGATTCTGTCAGTCTGGGGTAGAGCCCAACAATCTTTATTTCTAACAAGTTCCGAGGTGGTGCAGGTCTGCTGATCTAGAATTGACAGGTAGCTAGTGTAAGAGGTGGGATGAAGCTGGGATTAAAATTCAAGAAGAGTTTAGACAAGACAAGACCATCTGGCCCCAGTGCACACATGCATAGCTGCTCCAACACACTTCCTCCCAGGGCATCCCTGACACCAGAGGACCAAACTTGGTCCAGATGAACTTGGAATGTGTTTTCCAGAAATGAGTCGGTCTGATTTCTCTACTACAGTTAGCTCCAGTTTTGCCAGGTCCATATTTAGTCACGCTAACACGTTCCTTCATTTGTCTCCCTCAGTTATCCACCCTTCCTTTGTACAAACTGAGCACCTACCACGGTCTGGGTTCAGTAAAAGTGCAGCGTGGGGCCCTGGGAGCTCAGGATTAATAAACACCATCCAGGTCCAACAGGAGGGCACAGGGTGTGGCAGGAAGGGGACATGGAGGAGACACATGTTCAGGTAGTAACCAAATGCCTTGACGGCTGCTGCCAACAGACAGTATACAAAGCGGAGAGCAGGGACAGGCTCACTACCCAGAAAGCTGGGAGAGGCTTCCAGGAGAAGGTGACTCTCTGCTAGCCCTGGGGATGAGTCACAGGGAGGGGATGGAGAAGGGTGGTAGAGGAGGCAGAGGGACAAGTATGTGCAAAGGCCGGGAGACATCCAATGGCAGCTCCATGCAGAGACAGTGTGGGTTTCTAGGTGGGGAAGGAAGCACGATGAGAAGGAAGAGTGGAAAGGTATGCAGGAACCCTGATGGAATGTGGGCCCTGTAAGGTGAAGGCGCTGGGCAGGGCCCTAAGTGAGTTCGAAGCAGGGGAGTGAAGGGGTCAGGGCTGCCTGGTTGCAGAGTGGAGGATGGGAGGGCACCAGGCTGCGGGCCCAGAGGCCATGGCCGTAATAAGGTGGTGGTGGGGTGTGAGATTGCTGACAGGACATGGGCACTGACAGACTGGAGTCCAGAAGGGAGAAGTCAAGGGTGGCCCCCAGATTTCCAGTTTGGGGATGAGGTGCACCCCCCAGGGTGGGATGGAATGGGAGACTGAGGGGTGGAACTGGGGGTAGGCAGAGTGATCTCGTCCCTTTGCAGGTCTCCTTATGCCTCAAGAATCCCCAACCCCAGGACTCAAAATACTGCCAGTGTCTGCCATGTTCCTCCAGTTCCCCAGGGGCATATCCCACTTCGTTTTGTGAGGCCCACGGTACTTCCCACCCACGCTGCTGTTTCCCAGACTGAGATATTCCAAAGGCCTCTGAAAATCATCAAGCTCTGGAGAAAAGTGGGCTGGCATTGATTGCCACCCCCTCCTCTCCCTTTTACAAGAAGACCCCTGAGGACAGCAGGTGGGAGAGTCCCGCCTGGTGAGGAAGTCAGACCCAGCCGTTCAACTGCTGAAGAAGAGTAGCAATAGCCCGAATCCCCACCCTGGTCCATTGATGGTAGAAGCAGGTTTCCCAAAGCCCAGAGTGGGGCCCCCACTGAGAAGGCAGGAAGGGGAAACCTCAGAGGGCAGGGGAGACAGCTGTGGCCGGGGGAGAATGTGGGGTGGGTGACAGGGGATCAGAAAGAACAGGGCAGGCCCGGGGGCCATCCAGGGGCAGGACAATTTAGAAGAAATTCTGCACAGGGGCTGGGGAGCCCTGGGATTCAGCCTTAGTGCCTGGGAAGAGGCAGAAGTCTTACCTTGACTTGGTCCAGCACCACCAGGGGCCCGTTGACGCTGCAGACAGTCCTGTAGGCTGCAGGAGGGGCGGGGGTGGGTGAGGGTCTCACACCCAGACACCCAGACACACACACACACACACACACACACACACAGAGGCATCCTCTGCCTTCCCCCTCTAGGCACCACCCCCACCTCCTTCCCAGCCTAGGCCATCAGGGTCATTAGCTGTGACAGGGCCAGCCACCATTGCTGTAAGGGTCATGCCCCTGCCCGCAGGGCCCCCGCTGCCTCGGACACCTGCAGGAGGCTGGGGGAGGGCCAGGGCAAGGGCAGAGGCCCCTCAGAGTCCTCCCCTCCCCCATCCATGCAGAGGCCTCTCTTATCCCTGAGGCGGCTTTCTCATCCCTCTGGCCTCAGCCCCACCTTACCCACTCCCTCCTCTCTGACCCAGAACGTTTTCCAAAAGTTTCTGGCTCCCAGCTATGGCCGAGAACTGTCCTCCCCTGCTCCTTCCCAGGACCACACTTCTCTCCATCGCCCCACACTGATGGAGCACTGTGTGCATGGGGAGCTATGGTGTGTGTGTTGGGGGGTGCAGGCAGTGGTGAGAAAAACCAGCCGGGGTGCCTGCTCCAACCGTGCTCTGCTCTGCCTGGGAGGCTCCCACACTCCCTGGGCTCAGTGGGTACCCATGGTGGAGGGGAGATCAATAAGGAAGGAGGAAGAAGCAGAATGTCCCACAGTCCTAGTGGCTGGAGAGACCTACAACAGGAAAACGAGCTCCACTCACAGGGAACATTTGGGTTAGACATCAAGAAACACTTCCTAACTCCAGTGTGGGGGACCGCAACAGAAGGCGCCATGGACTGGCAGACAGGAAGCCTATTTTGTTTCCACTAGGGGCTAGCTGAGGGACCCTGGGGTGTCCCTCACCCACAACCCTGGGTCCTTGTGAAGTGCTAATGTGACAACTGAGATGAAGGAACTTGGCAAGGCAGGGTGGGCAGGGCTGTCTGTGAAGTTGCTTGGTCACTCACAGGCTGGAAGGACCTCCGAGTCCAACCCTCCTTCTACAGGCAAGGAGAACAGGGCCCGGCACGGTGAAAAGCCTGGCCGAGCGCCACACTGCACACTTGGGGCAGGACAGGGGCCAGGATACCACCTTGTGCTTCCCTTCAGACCACATGGGCTCCCAGCCACTTACCCTGGTCCTTCCAAGCAAGCCTGGCTCCAAGCCTCTCCACGCCAAGGGAAATCAAAGGCCCCTAGCTCACGCCCTCTGCAGTTGAGGGGGAACACTCTTTATTTTTGTCCGATTTAAGTTCCTTTCCCCGAAACTTGGGCTAGGAAGACCTACCGGGCAAGGCGATCCTTGCATGGATATTTGCAAGGTTCTTCCAAGCTTAAGGCCTGTAGGGAAACTCAGGAACGGGAGGAGGGCACAAGAAGATAAGTTCTTCTTGGGCTTAGGCTGGAGCAGGGGAACTCCCTCACCTTTCTGCCTTCAAACTATAGGCCCGTGTGCACCTGCGTCACCCTCTTCTTTCTCCTTCCTCGTGGGTTCCCACGGACGCGGTGTCCCACCTTCCGGCCTTAGAGCTGACAGCTCCCTGGGGTGAAGAGTCAGCACCTTCCTCTCTCTGTGGTCTTCCCAGCAAAGAAGCTCTGGCATCTCCAATCTTAAAAGCCACTCCCTCAGCCCTTGTCCTTCTCCAATGGAGGGATGCCCGATTTCTTTCCTCCCTTTCACATCCCTGCTTCTCGAAAGCACGTCTCCATTGCTGTCTTCCCTTCCCACCTTCCATCCACACCCCACCCTCTCCAGTCTGGCTTCTCTCTAGGCCACCTCTGGCCTGCGCATTGCTGAATCCAAAGGGACTAGAGCCGGAGGCGCTGTCTCCCTCAGCTCCTGGGAGGCCCTGGCTCTGGGTGCACCACTCTACCCCCTACCCCCGGCCTCGGCGGCTCCTCAGCCTATTTTGAGGCCCCTAGGATAACGGAGGGCCCAGAGCTGAGACCTGGCTCTTGACTTCTCACTCTCCTGCCCCTGGATGAGCTGCTTCCCTTCCTTCCCTCCTCCCTCCCTCTCTTTAAGTATATTTATCAGATCCTTCTAGGCACCAAGCTAGGCAAATAAAGGTAGCAAATAAAACGTGGAGCCAAAGTTTAAACGAGGGGATAAGGAGGAAACAATTTAACTACAAACTGCAGTAGGTGCTATGAAGGGAAAGAACAGGGTGGATGAGTGAGAACGGGCGGGAGGACCAGACTGGGTGGCCAGGGAGGAAGCACCTTGCAAGGAGGGCCTCTTCAAGGTCAGTTGGAGTCACCCAGCCAGCCCCCAGAGAGCTGGGCAAAGGGCATCTCTGGCAGAGGTGAGGAGGCCCAAGGGTGAGAAAGCACTTGGCGCCTTTGGGGGACAGTAAGAAGGGCAGTGCGGCTGGTGTGCAGAGGCTCGCTCTGGGGCGCAGGAGAACACTCAGCCCAATGAGACATGCGGGCAGGGATGTCTGCGATGTTCACGGCTGAATCCCACCTCTAAGGATGATGCCGGCATAGGGTAGTGTGAAAGATGACAGGAGTGGAGCCATATTAAAAGAGAGCTGGAGCAGCCGTTCCAGAGGGATTGCCTTGCACGTCTTGTTTTCTTTATCTTCCAAACTGGACCAAACCACTGACATTCCAAGAAGTCAATAAGGACAAGAATATCCTGTTTGTAAGGACTGATAAAACTAGACTTTGCTAATGACCAAATCGCTAACCAACCTATGAAGTACAAACAGCCTGACCTCATCTAGCGCCGCTGAACTCTTCTGTAATACAACTCACCTCATCCTCCCTTTTCCCCATAAAAACCCTAAGCCCCTCTCCTGTAATGGACACACGGTTTTGATTTCTACCTCAATCTGTGTCTTCCAAATTGCAATTCTAATTGCCCAAATAAATATCTGCTGTTCAAATTGTAGTGATTTTTTCCTCTGTCGACAATAGACACTCAGTGAATATTTATTGGATGAATTATGGACAGGGTCCGCCTGGTCCCACCAGCTCATTCCCCTATGTCCCACATCAGGAGCCATGCGTGACCCCCACCTTCCCAGCCCCAAACCAAATGAGTGTCCTTTCTCCCGTCTGAGAGCTTGCTCTCCTGGTTCCTGCCACTCCTGTGAAGACAGAGGGTGGAAAGGATGAGAGAGAGAATGCTCAGGGCTAAGGGGGGTGGTGGGCATAGGCAGACCCCAGTGAGGGAGGGCAGGGGACATCACCCTCTCCACCAAGAAGAAAAATCACTAAGCAGCCACGCACCCCTGCGCACGTGGCATTTTGATCAAATTCTCTGGATTTCTAGACCCTTGTGGGGCAGAGCGGAGCATGTGAGCCCAGCGGAGGGAGGATGGGGAAGCGGGAGGAGGTGCTGGATCGCAAGAACGCGAATGAGCATGGGTGGAGAGCGCCGCATTTTAAAAAGCCCCGGGAAGAGCTGGCATCTTGCTGACCCTGGAGGGAAAATACCAGACCAGCCAAAAGGGCTGAGATGGCAGAAGAAAGACGCAGGGTGGGTGGGCGTCTAGGGAGGTGGGGGAGGGGGAGGGGAGGGGCCCCGAGGTCCCGAAAGCCCCGGGGAATCATCTCCAATTCCGCCTCCGCCTCCGGAGACAAGTCTTTCAACTTCCTCCCTTCGTTCACAGCCAGCTGCCCCCACTTCACAGCTTCTGCCACGTGAAAACCTCATTAACCCAACAGCCAACAACTCTACATTCGTGGGCGGGGGGCGCCCCAGGAGTCGGGGGAGTGATGATAGTGGTGGGCACAAAGAGGGGAGCAGACCCGCTGCCCCCTCACCCACCTTCCCAAGGAGGAGGGCCTGGTCTGGGGGGAGCATAGGGGCGGGGGGCAAAGTGCTTGCCTGCAGCAGAGCCAGGCCCCCCCTGGCTGCCAGCTTCTCAATTCCATGCCTCCCCCAGCCCAAGCCACACCGGGACCGGCATGAGGTCTCTAAGTCACCCGTCTGGTCTCATCTCACCACCATTATCTATAAGCCACCTTCCCAGGCTTCCAGCAAGCAGGGTGCCTGGCTCTAGGGGGCTTTGTAAATAGGTGCTAGATGAATACATCACTCCATGGTCTGGACCCTTCACTGTGGATAATCCATGCACGTGGCCAGTTAGGTCCACCTCAGGCTATTCATCCCTTCAAGGCCTCACCCTTGACTGACTGCTGCAGCCCAACAGGGTCCTCTTCCCTCTGAAGTCCCACAGCGCTACAGGCTGGCACCTGAGAGGGCATCCTGCTCTCCAGCTGCTCTGTACCTTGAGGCGGATTGTGTCTCTCCCAGAGACACTAGGGCTCTGTGTCTCCCTGTCAGACTAGAGCATATCTTTTCCTGGAGGCTCTCTGGTTTGGACACAGTGAACTCGGCGGTTGAGCCACAAAGGTGTCCTTGACTGGAAGCCAGGCCTTTGTTTGTGCCCAGCCCCAACTCTGATTGTGCCCATTGCGTGGAGTGGCAAACCAAGGCCCAGGAAGTCGGCTGGTTTCTCCTAGGGCATACCACAAATCAGGACAGTATCCTGGGCACTCAAGGTTGAGGGCCACTACCCCAGCCCTGGGACGCGCCCTTCCATCCTGGAGATGTGAAGGGTTGGGGGGGTTGTGCTGGAGGCAGTGGCTGGACCGGAAGACATCTGAGGGGCGCTCCCTCAGTGGGCCTTCCTGAGACTTTGCAGACACTCCCTCCAGCTGCTCTGTCCCCCCCCACCCCATTGTCCTGGCTGACACTTCGGGTTGCACTTTGGGCAGCAGGCGGGTGGAGCCCCTCCCTGCCCCCATCTCCCCACCGCCTTCCCTGTCAAAGGCTCAGCAGGGCTCCGAGCAGCCCACTAATTAGGGCCGGGCCAGCCACACCTGCAGCGTCCTGGGAGAGGGCTGAGCCAGGCGCACCCAGGCGTGAGGCCAGGGTGGGGGCAAGCCAGGGCAGCAGGTCCCGCACCTCCTCCCTGATCCCCGCTGGAGGGATTAGGGGAGGGAGGGCAAGGGCTGGAAGCCGAGATGCTTAGAATCAGCCCAAGACCTTGCTGGGTGGAAGTCTCGCAGTGTAATCCCCCTCGCCTTTCAGTTGAGGAAACCGAGGCACTCGAGCTCCTGGGCGAGCTGACAAGGCTGCCAGCCTGTCTGTCCTAGCCTTGGCTCATGCTGTGCAACGCCCCCCCCCCACCCCCCCCGCCCCTCACCCTAGCATCGTCTGACCAAATAAAGCTCCATGCCGCCTTCTCTCCGTGGGGAGCAACTCTAGCTCCAAGGGAGGCAGGGGGTCCCTTCTCTCCCAGGGTGGACATTGTTGGGGTCCCCTCCCCAGCCTGATTCCACCCAAGCCCCTCCTTTTGGGCCCATTCCTTCCCTCAGCCACTGCAGTGAAATCACCTTTACTGCCTCAGGCCTGTTCAGTTCGCCTCCTCCTCCAGGAAGGAAACTTCCTAGACTCACACCCACCTATGGCTGAGCGAGCCCCTTGGTCCTCTGGTCCCCCAGCTCCCCGCCACCAAGGCTCTTTCAGTCTCTACCGCGCAGAGTCCCCAGGGAGGAGGCCAGGCTGGGGGAAGAGGGCAGAGAGGGACTCAGGAGTCCTGCCTCAGCATGCTGGGTGCAGTAGCTCTGGGGGGTCTCCAAGCCCTCCCTAGTCCACAGCCCACTGTGCCCCCGCAGGGAGAAAACTGCCCAGGGCCCTGAGGAGAGAGCTGTAGGTGCAGAGGTGCACGGAGGAATCCAGCCCGCCCCTGGGTGAGAGTGTGTCCAGGCTGGGCTGGGGCGGGTCCCTCGGTGGACCCTGTGAGGATGCTGGTGTGCAGCAGAATCGAGGGCAGTGGTCTTTATCACTGCAGTGACATCTTTAACACAGGCATTGAGCAAAGCCCCGTGGTGGGGCTCCCCTGCTCTGCCTCTTGTCTGTGGGTCAGCTGTTGGTGTGAACACACTTGCCTGGGTGGGGGCCACATGGAGCAACACACATGCAAACGTCGGGCACTGCCACCCATGCTTCCAGCCAGGGTCTAACCCCCAGGGTGTGTCCCTTGTGCCAGGGCTTGTTGACTCTAAACAAGGGCCTGGCTGGGACGGAGCTGGAGAGAGGGAACAGTCAGCCCCCACAGTAGACCCAGCTCTCAGCTGCCCTCTCAGGTCACTCCCCTCCCCCACTGGACTGCAAGGAACTGCAGAGGGAGGGAGGGGTAGCTGGGCTAGGCCAACTTCTCCCCACACACAACCTGTTCAGAGCCTCTGGCCCTGCTTAGCTGGTGCCGGCCAGGCCAGTTTACTCCAGTGAGCTGGGCTGTCTGAGAATTCGAGAATTCACCAGGCCAGGGAGGGTGACCTTGGACAAGGAGAGATGGGGGGACTCCCTCTGGTCCGGGGGCCTTACTGGTCTCTCTATCCCAGACATCTGGACTTGGCCCACCCCTGCAGGACTGGCACTCGAGCCACACCGGGGGATGGCCCCTGCGAAGCCTGTGAGGGTACACTCCAGCCCCCATGGGCACAGGCACTCTCACACCTGGGTGCCAGGCTCTCGCTCTGCCCCCAGCTGTACCCACACAGACGTGTGATATCACCCGACCACACACTCACCCATGTTCTCCTCAGGAGTGTGCACACTCACACACGTGCACACACACACTTACCCTCATGCTGAGCACACAAGCATGCACACACACACACACATTTCCTACCTCTGATCACACACACACTCCCGCTGTCACATACATATTCACACATATCCTCGCCCAAGTGAAGGTGGGAGCACCCACTCACCAAGGCACATGTCTTCCTCTGGTTATATACACAGGACATGCGCCCACTGACGCGACACACACAGTGTCACATGCTTCCCCATCCTGAGAACATGCACGTACTCTGCATTGCCGCACACATTCCCCAAGAACACTTGGTCATGCATTTCCTCATGCTGAGTGTTCTGGTGCACACACACACATAGCCCAAACACACACATTCTCACAGGAGCGTGTACACACACACACACACACACACAGGGGCAGTTGGGAGCTCTCTGGCCTTGGGGTCTTAGTGCAGGATCAGGGTGATGGCAGGGAGTTTCCGTGGTGACTCCCCTGCCCTTTCCTCTGGGGTAGCCTGGGCTGGGGATCCCCGTCCCTCCACCTGCAGAGATGGCCCCTTTTCCAGGCAGCCCGCTGCATCACTCCACTGGATCCAGAGCCCCCTAGGTCTCCCCAAGTCTCAGGTCCTCTTCTTTCCCTGAGGCTAAGAAGCAAGACCTGGGGACCCAAGCAGCTCATCCCACCCTCACGCTCTGGGGGGGTTCTACTCACTGACACGGGGACGGGTGATGTAGTTTCGAGTGACCGCCTGCATGTGCTCGCGGGCTGCGCCCAGGTCACAGCTCCTGCTGGGGAGCCCACCAGGCCTACTGTCTACCTTCGTGGCCATGGTGAGGTGTCCGGCTGGGAGCCGAGTGCCTGAGCCTGCTGGTAGCAGGTCCAACACCTCAGGCTCAGCTGGAACTAGAGAGAGCTGACCAGCCAAACCCGTGGCCACCCCTCCCCTCCCCTCCGCCCCCGAGTTGACTGTAAACAGGGAAAGCCGTGCTCTGGCTCTGGAGCTCTTCCAGATCTGGGAGCTGCCCTAGGCCACCTGGGAGCAGGAGGGTGGGGGAGGGAGGGGCAGAGGGGCGAGGCTGGCTTCTCTGACCTCTGCTCCTGGCTGTCCCTCCACCTGCAACCTGCAGCCACTGTGTACTCAGTTCTTCCTCCTGGAACCTCAGGTGCTCTCCCAGCCCTGCGCGCCTCAACACTCGTCCTGCTCTCCCCCCACACACCCAGGTTCTGGCAGGCTGCCCTCTCCTCAGGTCTTCTCCTCATTGTCCCCCAAGCTGCCCTCACCCTGCACCCCTCTCCTGGCCATACCTGGGTACTTCTTCCCCTGCACAATTCCATCATCATCTTTTTTTGAACATCTGTAGAGGGTTATTCTTGGGCCAGCTTCAGCGCCACCTCCTACAGGAAGCCTTACCTGAACCCTACAGCACCCTGGATTCACCACACATCTGGTCTCTTTCCTATGTCTGGTCCCCTTTTGGAGAGTTCTCTTTTGTTCCTGCCACTCAGCTCTGAGCCCCCACAAGCTGAGCCTGTGTGTCCTCCATCAGACTTGGGTTCCTTCAGCCTTTCTGTCTCACAATATTGAGAGCTCCCTAAGAACCAGGACAGGTCTCTGTTCATCTGATCTTAGGACCCTGTCTCGGCTTCTTATATTTCACCTCCAGGATCCGTGCTGCAGGCCTGCCCTGACATTTTCAGCCCAGGGCAGAAAGTACAAAGGAAGGAACCCCCTCTGAGCTGTGAGGCTAGAGGATGTGTCCGTTGCCCTAGGGCAGCAGTGTGGTACAGGTCTGCCGGGCAAGGTGGGTGGACACTGGGTGGTGGCTAGTCCCGCCCAGCTCAGAGTCTGCCCCAGTCACCCCCATGCCTCATTCTAGACTCAGGATTTCCCTTGCAGCACCCACTCTGGGTGACTCAGGGCAGTCAGTGTGAAACCAAATATGTTTCCCAGAGCAGACCGGAGCAGACTGTGCTTGTCTTTTCTCCCCACAGAGTCAAAATCTCACCCTGCATCCTCTGGTCTCAGGAGAAACATCAGGTCTTGGTCTCTGCTCTCACAAGTCCCATTTTTCCAAAGAATTCTCTTCGGGGGGAGGGCGGTGGGTGTGACTATGAAGAGGAGCACAGGGTAGACCTCTGTGGTGATCAGCAGTTCTGTATCTTGATTGTGGCGTTGGTGCCATGAATCTCACACAGGTGATAAAATGACATGGAACCTCATACACACGTGGTGCCAATGTCAATTTCCTGGTTTCAATGTTATGTGATAGTAGTTACGGAAGGTATAACAATTGGGGGAAACTGAGTGAAGGGTACACAGGATTTCTCTGGACTATCTTTGCAACTTCCTATACATCTACAATTATTGCAAAATGAAAAGTTAAATAAAAGCATCTTACTTGAGCAAAAATATTTTTGAAGTGCTTCGTGTCGTAGTATTTGCGAGGGGTGGGTCCTCTAAGGCATGCGGGGTCTTGCCTGGGTTTACCTTGGCGTCTCTCTCGGGCTCTCTGGATCCTGGTCTTGCCTTTCCTTGTCTACCCTCTTGAAGGACTTCATGATTCCCCCTCTCCAGTGCTATGTTTGAAAGAGGAGCTTGTAAAGGGCAGTGCTGAACCAGCAAAAGCACTGATGTTTCTACACGGGCCTTGGGATGCTTGGGTGGGAGCTATCAGAGTCACGTGCCTGTCGCCCACCCACGTGAGTACCCTGATCCCCCCACAACTGTGAACATGACGCCGGTTTTTGCCCCCTCCCATTAGTGGTGGCCCGATCTTTGACCATTTTCCTTCCCAGTGGGGGTGGGGAGGGGATTGAGGGCAGTGGTGGTGCTGTGGGGACTCTGTTTCCCTTCTTGTCATTGTTTTCCTTTTATTTCAGTGAGAGGCACACGCACACTGCACTCACACACACATCGTGGGACCAAGGCTGTCGTCTGGTCGAGTCTCTGAGCCGGGGGGCGGGTGGGGCAGGGTGTGTGGCTGCCACCCCTCCTCTGGGGGCCTGCTCAGGGCAGTCCGCTGGGGCACAGGAGGTGGGGGCGGGGCTGTGTTGGGGACTCGGTGTCACACAGGGGTGGAGGCTTAAGCATTAGTTTTCTTGCCGCCAACCGGGCTGCCTACTCCTCGCTCTGGCCGGCTGTAGGGCTCAAAGGCCGAGGAGCCCAGTTCGTAGCCTGCAGGCAGGTCCAGGAGCGGGGCAGTGGAAAAGCAGAGGGCTGGCGGAGGGGGCGGCAGTGTGGGGGACGCCGGGGCCGAAGTCAGAGGGTTGAGGCGTGGGGAGGAGTTCCTGGGGCCACCCAAGGAGGTGCTTCTGTGGCCGGCAGGCAGGCCAGGCAGGCCGGGGGTCAGCGCCAGGAGGCTGGGGGCCCTGGGCACGGACAGCAGCCGGCCCTGTTCCAGCAGCCGCAGGATGTTGGAAGTGGCAAAGGCCTCAGAGGCTGAAGAGGACGCCCGCTTCTCCAGGTCTCTGCTCTGGTCTTTCTTCTGCTTGGTACGGCGGTTCTGGAACCAGACCTTCACCTTGGGGCAGAGGGTGGGGAGGGGTGTCAGGAAGGGAGAGGGGACAGGCCAAGCCAAGTGGGGGCCAGTGGGAGGAGAAAAGGAGGGGAAGGGCATGGGGGTGTAGGGGAGTGGGGAGCAGGTGGAGTGAGAGGGGAAAGAAGAGCAATTCGATTGTCATTAAGGCCTTCCCACAACCAGCCTGCTCTGGGTGAACTGATGATAAGGAACCTGGCCCCCCAAATCATGGACGCCCCTCCACTGCTGAGCCTCAGATGGAAGGGCTGGCAGATGGAGGGTGGAGTTTGGAGGGCACACATGCCGTTCCCCTCTTGGCCCACACACATTCCACTCTTAGGCAGGTCCATGGCTTCAGCCACCATTTATGTGCTGGTCAATCCCAACTCTACCTCAGGCCCAGGGCTTGGAACTGAGATCCAGGCCAGCTGTCCAACTGCCTGTTAGACCTCTCCATGGACGTCACAAAATACCCAAACTCCACACGTTCAGACCAGCTCGGATCCACTCCCCTACACAGGGGCCTTTCCCGCCTTCCCTCTTCCATGAGGGCCATCACCATCTGTCCAAGCAGAAACCTAGGAGAGCTCCCTAAGCCTCCCACTCCCCAGTGCAGGCCCTCTGCTCTTCCCCTGCCCACTCTGGCCTGGACTGTGGCCGCAGTCTCTCCAGCACAGCCTCTCAACTCTGCCGGCCCCTGAGAGACCCCTGGGGAGCCTACCTCACTCCTAACCTCAGGCTGATCAACTCAGAAGGGGGCTGGCTGGGACCCTGACACTAGTTTTGAAAGCTCACTGGGAGATTCCAAGGTGAGAGAACCACTGTTCGAAGGGTCTCTGTGCCTCCATCCCAGCCTCACTGTTTGCAGGGCCGGGGCAAGAGGAAAACTGGAAGGCCTGGGTCATGGCCCTTCCTGACTCTGACCTGCACATGTGTGGGCACTCTGCCTGTTCACACCCCGCAAACAGCCCCTGATGGTTGCTTTCTGGACCTGGGGTTCTGGATAATGGCTGCATGGTCTGTCCTTGGGAGGACTGACTCAGGGAAAGCCCAGGGAGGCACTGGAAGTGGGCTCAGGCCATTTGGTAGGCAATTCTGGAACCCTGGACACCTGGGGTGTGGCCTAGAAGGTGGGCACGGGCTCCTGCTGGGCATGACTCTTTGGCCTTACAAAGTCCTCACCCCATAGGAAGGGACATGGCCAGAGAAGGGCCAAAGTGGGGCCCTCTAAAGCATGGGACCTAGGGTAGGGGCCAGTAGCCCGGTCTGAGGACGGTCCCACCTCTCCTCGTCTTAGCCCCCACACTTGGCTCTCTAACCCAGTCTGCCATTCCCCTGTTTGAACCTTTCACAGCCCCCTCCTGCCCCCTCACCTGTAAAGGCCGGGCTGCTCAGTGTGATACCAAGTGTAAGAGGATGTGGCAGGGTGTTCAGGGGAACTTCCAATGGCCACACACTCAAAGCTGGGGACAAAGAGGTGCCAAGTACCTTACCTCCTAAATAGAGCCACCAACAGAAGGGCAGAGACACCTTTTTCCAGGCCTCTGAGAGGAAGCCGATCTCACCCTCCACCACCACCCAGCACTGGGCTCTGCGGCCCCTGTCCTGTCCTTAGAAGAAAAGGAGGCTGGGAGGGAAGCCCAGTGGTCAGCCCTCATGGTGACAGGGGATCTCTTCCCCTCTCTGAGAAGGAGAGGGTGCCCCCCTGCCGAAGGCAAGTCGGGGGGCCCTGAAAGAATCACTTGTAGGGACTGGAAGAGCCTGAGAGAAGGAGAGGCTGGGATTCCCTCCCCAGCTGGAAAACTTGTCAACTGCAGGCCCATGTCACCTGTGCCCAGGCTTGTGTCCCCAGGAGCACAGAGGCTGGCCTTGCTTCTGGCCTGGAGGTTTCAGGAGGCTGGCAGCCACTGGGCAGTGTGTGCCAGCAGGAACCGTGGAGTGGAGGGCCTGGAAAGAAAAGGATAGGGAGGCCTTGCCAGTTCCCTCTCGCTTTCAGAAGACCTAAGGGAGGCCAGCAACGCCTGTGGCTCTGGATGAAGGAGCTGAGAGGTGAGGAGGAAGCAGGCGTGGATGACGAGGAGGGCAGAGCTGAGGCTGCCCAAAACCTCCTGCAGGAGCAAAGGCCTCCAGCCAGGGACGCCTGGGTGCCTCCCTCCTCACACCAGAAGGGCCCAGTATGTAAAAAGCTCTCTGCCTCCCAGCCCCCCCACCCCGACCCCGCTCCTACCCTCCAACTCTAAGGGAGTGCATTGATGGGGGGAGAGAGCAGGTGGCTCAGACAGGTCACACAGGCCTTCCAGAGGCCACAGCGGGAGGCGTTCAGGACAGCAGGGACCTTCCTCCAGCAGTGAGTCAGGCCTGTTCTGAGTGGGGAAGTGGGGAGAAGAGGAGA